GTTGACGTCTACCAATTTTCCACGATGTAGCATAATAACTGTGCATTCTTCATCTATTATCCACTCTGAGATCAGGACCCTCATCAATAGTCTCTCGACACTAGTCATGATTGGACTACATTATGTTTTTAAATTAATATTATGCTTTAAATTGTGGTTTAACTTTACAAAAATGCTTGTGTTTTGTAATTCCCTTTCATTGATGACTGGGTTCTCCAGACATTTGCTTCAGCTGTATGTCGATGGATCACTGATGTGATGCCCATTTTTTTTTTGTGTCTGGAGTCTGGACCCATTAATTTATTCACAAAACATAAAAAATTCTCAGCTTTGTGGGAGTTGAAATCTGTTCGTCAACAGTGAAGCTTCTCAAAAAACAAATGAAAATGAACAGCAGCATTTAACTATACTTCAATATAAATAAAGATATAAAATGGCGAAAAATACCCAATGGAATTTTCATTTCCATCATCCGAACCAACCTGACTTTCAAATGCTAAACACATGAGAGAAAGGACAGGATAGTAAGTTGTCGCTTAACTAACATCACACCTTTGAAAAATATAGTTAGTAACGTCACTGTTTACAATCGAGTGTGATGTTGCTTTTATGCAATAGTTCAATAAACAAGAAGTTAATCTTGAGTAACTTACCTTTTGGATACAATATTTCCAATTATTAGCCAAATTAGCTTTTATTGTGGTCACATTAGCCGAATTTCAGATGAATTGTCAAAAAAGGTCTTCTGCCCATTGTCAATAGCATAGCAATGTATGAAGCACAGCTCACACAGAAGTCCATTTTAAACCAAAACCAGCAGCTTTCTGTTGGTAAATGCAGCAAATTGACATGACCAAATTATTGACGAGTGAAAACTGTGTTTTAAATTTCACAGAGCAATGGCAAAAGTGACCACATCTTAACAAAGAACTCTGGACGTAATCCATGTTTTTGAACTAATCACTTGAGTTAATAACTCCATAAATCACTAGTATGTGATTGCTGTCCCTGAATGAATCAGTATTTTTGAACAAACAGTTTAATTGGAAGATTCAATTACTTGTTGCCAACTACTGGAATATTGATGTAAACCTACAGAAGAATAACTGAAAAATCCCTACCACTAATGCTTTTTTCACATGAAAGCAAGGCCATAACTATGTCTTGAACACTGGGGGGTACCTATGTATGTGACACACATACATACTGTATATACATACATACATATATATATGTATGTATGTATGTATATACAGTATGTATGTGTGTGTGTGTATATATATATATATATATATACACACACACACAGGTGTTCTATATTAATGCACTGCTTTAATTGACGCACACAAACACACACACATGCTGGAATTTCTGTGAACAGTAAATCCCACCTACTTTGACTTGATTGGCCATCTCAATTATTTTGACATTGACAAGCGCTGTTAGACCACTGAGGCAGACCAAGCTGAAAATTTAAAGTTTAACATGGCATATGAAAACACCGCCTTTTCAAAAGCATTCAGACCCTAATAAAGTCTCATTTGGATGAAGCTGCCAAGCGTCTCTTGCAGTATGATGCAATCAGTGTTTCTCCAAAGCTGAAGGGTGCACCTCACAGAGAGAGTTCATGATCCAAAACACAGGGCCAAATTATCACTGCAGTGGCTCATCAACAAAAAGATGAATGTTCTCCATTGATGCAGTGTCGCAGTCAAAGCCTTGATCCCAATCCAACTGGCCTGGCACAATTTGAAAACTGCATTACATAAGAGCCACCTAACTAACTCAAGCTACCTGGAGTGAATCTGCCTAAAATGGGCTGTAATTAGGGTTGCAAAAACTAAATTTCGGAAATATTCCAGAAATTTTGGAAACTTTCCAGGATTTTTTGGAATATTCCAGGGATTTTTGGAAAGTTTTTTCACCCCTTTGCAACCCTAGCTGTAATGTAAAGATAATTGCACAAAAAGCATTCTTCAGTTTTTATGTTTGTTAATTAATAAAATTTCAGTGTAGGATTAGTCATTCAGACAATTGGTTAGTTTAGCCAAAAGTTCTCTTTTCAGTTCCCAATTTATAAAATATATAATAAATAAATTACAAGCCTACACTCTTAAAAATAAAGGTGCTTCACGATGCCATAGAAGAACCTTTTTGTCTAAATGGTTCCATAAAGAACCTTTAACATCTGAAGTACCTTTCTGTTTCACAAAAGGTTCTTTGTGGCGAAAGAAGGTTCTTCAGATTATAAAAAGGTAAGAAAGAGATGGTTCTTTAAAGAGCCTTTGACTGAATGGTTCTTTGTGGAACCAAAAATGGTTCTTCTATGGCATCGCGTGAAGAACCTTTTGAAGCACCTTTATTTTTAAGAGTGTAGAATTACTGTCTTTACTATGTTAGATACTTAAAAGTAGCTTTCCCATCTCCACTGATGTGCAAAGTTTTAGTAGACAGTATGCACCCCATCTGCCATCACTGAAAAATGTGCTAAGTGACCTTTGACCTTATGTCAAATATTATTTTACATTTAGCGTAAATTAGATAATCATTCTGTTGTATCCCCTTGTGGAAACCCAAATATGAAATAAACCACATTAATTTTCCTTAATCGCATTATTAGCAGGTGTGAGAGCACCTGTCAATTGGGAATGTTGACTTAGATATGCGTTTAAGTATGATTCATGTTTTCAGGGCTCAGAGGTCAGGACAGACGGACACAAGACACCACAGAATCCTCCTGAGAAGGGGAACGTGTGTCCGTTTATCTGTGGGGTGGGAAGGTCTTGTGAACGTTTCCCACTGTGCTGTATTTTACTTTCTCACGTGCAGACTAACAAACACAGCCTCAAATTCCCATTAGGAATTCTTTTAGAAAGACAGAAAATATGAAAGTCAGATTAAACACAATGGCACAAAAATAAACAGTTTGAGGTTAATCAATGTTTAACCTAACACTCTCAAACTAAACCTTTATTTACTCTACCGTTCAAAAGTTTGGTACGTAAAAAATTCTTTCTTGAAAAGTAATCAATACTTTTATTCAGCAAGGATGATCAAAAGTGAGAGTAAAGACATTTATAATGTTAGAAAAGGTCTCTATTTCTAACAAATGCTGTTAAACTTTCTAATTATCAAAGAATCCAGAAAAAAAATGCATCATGGTTTCCACAAAAATATTAAGCAGCACAACTGTTCAACATTGATAATAATAAAATTGTTTCTAGAGCGCCAAATGTATTCGAATGGTTTCTGAAGGTTAATGTGACACTGAAGACTGGAGTAATGGCTGCTGCTTTGCCATCACAGGAATAAATTACATTTAAAACATTCAAACAAAAACCAGTTACTTTAAGTTGTAACAATATTTTACAATATTACTGTTTTTACTGTATTTTGATCTGATAAATGCAGCCTCAAATGATTAAAACATTGACAGTCAATCAAAATAGTTTCGACTTTTAACACACGTACTGCAGTTTTACTGTACACTTTAGGATTTAACATCTGGGAAATATTTTGTGCCGCACACACGTCAAGAAAGAAACTTAACCTTAAGTTACTTCTAAACTTTTGAGCAACACAGCATTTTTGTATTAGAGAGAACCTGAACTGGAAGCTGAAATTAAAGGCTCACCTGACAACGCAATTTTCCCAAAAAGAAAATCTTTATGACATGAGTCTTTAAATGAGTCTGCTGAATGGGGTGAAAAGGGATTTGGGGATTTCTATCTGAGGTTACAGAAGCTGCATGTTTCTAATTAGTCTCCTGAAACCTAACCAGAAGTGGGATTTCTCTCTTTCGCTCCTGCTTTTGAGGTATTTTATTTAATGCTTATTTCCTCACATATGTTTCCTCCACCGTTTCTTCTGCAACGTCATGTCTTCATTCCCCTCCGTCTAGTTCTCATGCACTCACTTCAGTCTTGCCCCGAGGAGTTCTTTGAGCAGTAATAATGCCACTCTTATCTTACGGAGATGCTATCGGTGGCACTTTGAAGCCTGGCTGATGTAATCTGTTGCCCTCCACACCACTTTTTATTAAACCTACATTAGAATGACGAGTTTGACAAGGCCTAATATAATCCCATAATAATCTGGTGAGACATGCTGTCTACTGTCTATGATCTTCACCTTGTCTTGTGTGCTGGTTCTTTTAAATCTATAGAATAATTATAATATCTCTTAAATTCCTGAATTTCAATTAAATATGAAATGTAGAATTTTAAGTAGAAAAATGTAAATATATATGTTTAAATATATATATATATATATATATATATATATATATATACACATACACATACATACATATGAATGCATTTAATATAACTAAAAATAAATTAAGCACAATTTTTTTTCTGGTACCATTTCAAAGACTGATGTTATACATTTGATTTTATTTAATGCATTAATTTATGCATTTATTAATTAATATTAATAATACCTTAATTCTTGAATTCTTAATTTAGAAGGTGCTGGTTTGAATGAGAAGCCATGGAGTAATTTGTGCTGGATCCATTGCACATGTTTTGTGTTTATAGGCAGCTTGGTGAATATACAAACCTATTTGGCAGGTACTTTATACAGACGCCTCTTTATTCGAGGATGAAAAGCAGAAACGTGAAAGAAAAGAAAGTGGTTGTAGATAAGAGCAATGGGACTTTCATTGGGACTAGTGGGAGTTATCTTGTCATTGAAGAGAAAAATAATGAGGGATTGGCTTTAGAATCAGTGTTAAAAAGGATAAAGATGAAGAGGAGGGTATCAATGTGGCCTCCACTTCTCTATACATTAGTGAATAACTAATGAGAAACAAGAAGGAATATTCATTAGTTTGGTCTTTGGAGACTTTGATGGTATGGTGAAGGGCCTTGCGTCTTTGTATAAGTATGAGAGCATGTGTGTGTGTGTGTGTTTTGGAATACTGGGGTAAAGATTGGCAAGTAAACACCAAAACTTCACATACAAATGCAAAGAACATGCTTGTGTTTGCATTACAGAATTGCAGAAAACCCAGTCCTTCGAGTTTTTCACTTTGTCTGAGAAGGCCATGGACTATAGGATCCTTTTCATGGATGAGGATCAAGACCGTATGTACGTGGGCTGCAAAGACCATGTAATCTCGATGGACATCAACAACATCAGCCAGACCATGCTGAAGGTGAGAGAGCAGTCAAAACCTCTCTATATCAACATGAAATGCAGCACAACAGTAGAAACCAATGGCGACCACATTTCTTTCGTTCTCATTTGACTAATGGGAGAGTGGCAGTTTGGCTAAACAGTGTTGGCTTTTGAGGAGACAGCTTGAACACAACTGGCAAAAATTATGGAAGTTTATCTTTCCTCTTCCAGCAAAGGCTGGCAAAACTTCAGAGATCCATTGCATTCCAGTGCATTTTGCTGGTCTATGCTGCACATCTATCCAGCAGGGCTTAACCCCAATCACGAGTTCACCAGTAAAAAGCCTCACCCAAGTTGAAGTACAATACAGCATGAGTTGTGTCTACTTTAAGAGCTTGACAAATAACTACTAGACTTTAAAGTGGTTATTTATGGCAATTTACTTTTTTCATGAAAGTCTAAGGAGAAATTTAGCAGAATGATCAAACTGCTCTTGTGCATATAATGAAAGGTGACTTTTGATCAATTTAATGCTTGATATTGATTTAATATAATTAATAAATTGGCTTATTACATTTATGCTTGTGTAGTAGTCCCATTAGACGTGCATAGTAACATAAATCTGTCAGTCAAAATGTTCCTTCATCCTTATATTACAATTTTCTCACTATTCTCTTATTTTTTTTCTCAGATCTTCTGGCCGGCATCCACTACTAAGGTCGAGGAGTGTCAGATGGCTGGCAAAGACCCCACAGTAAGAACATTGACACTTTTAAACTCATGGCATGTTATGGTTGGCCAGATCTTTTATGCCTCTGATTCACAGAGAAGACAGCAGCATTCTTGATTCAACTCCTATTTGTGTGTTGCTTGGTGAAGTGATCATCCAGTGAGCTGTTTTCACATGCATTATTCTCCCTACAATCACATGCAATTAATTAAACTTGTCCCAAATCAATCAAAAGAGCACCAAGCATGAGCTGATTTTAAATCAGTGTTTAGTCCTCAAATTTGAACCTTCATGGCTGGATCAGGAACAGATGGTTCTTGACCCAGTGCCCATAAGCAAAAGCAATCTCTAGATGTTGTCTGTAGCGCAGTGAGAGGTCACACCTTCTCTTTGTCATCAACTACGTGTCCTAAAACTAAGTAAATGCAGAAATGGACTAATGTTCTCAACTGGCCAAAGAAAAATACTGTACTTCGCACCCATACCGCAAATGATCATTTTAAACCTGTATTTTATGTACTAATGAAATACAGGAATTTACAAGTGCACTGAACTGAAGTTGTATATTTTAATTGCATGTGACTGGAAAAATAGGGTAAATTCATGTAAACCTGGCTACTTTTTGCCATTGAGATGAGCGAAAATGTCCCAATTTACTGGTTTATGGCTCAATTTATATTCACCCCACATCATGAATGTTAGTATAATATCTGGGTGAATATCATAAAAAAATGTCTGTGCCATATTTCACCCAAAGAAGAGAGCTAGTTTATCCTCTTTATAACAATTTACTCTCAATTTATACAATTATTTACACTTCATGATGTGGAATAA